AGTGTCCCCGGGATCCTTTGGCTCCAGAATGCCCTGGAGTGTCACAGTGGTCCCTTGAGTCCATGAGGTGTCACAATGACTCTTTGATTCTGTGGGGTTCCCCGGTTTCCCAAAGTCCATTTGGCTCCAAAAAGGCCCTGTAGTGTCACAGTGGCCCCTTCATTTCATGAGGTTCCACTGTATCCCAGGTTTTATTTGTTTCCAGGAGGCACCACAGTGACACAAGGGCTCCCTGGTTCCAAAAGGTTTCAGGGCTCCTTTTGTTCTACAAGGTCCCACATGTTAAATGGTGCCCTGGTTCCACAAGATTTCACAGTGTCCCTGTGTTGCTGTCTTTCCATTAGGCCCTGCAGTGCCACAGTTTCCCCTTGATTCCATAAGGTTGCCCAGGGTCATCACAAAGCTGAGCCCACCCAGATGGAAGTCTGGGGGAGATCAAGAGGAACTGGGACAAAAAGGATTGGATATTTGGAGAAGGAAAGAGGGGCTTGGCCAACAGAGAGAAAAGATTTTGATAAGGTAAAAACAGTTTCAGGTAATGCTGAGGGTGCTAAAACACTGACTGTGCAAACATTCCTTATGGACCTTTACCCTCTTTGTAACCTAAAGTCCCACTGCTCCCCAAAATTCCCATTGAAGGAAATCCACTGCTCTAATTCCAAGCAAGAAAATCCCAAATGCAGAACTCCAGACTCTTATTTGTACTCCAATGCCCACCCCAATTCCAATCCTGTAATACCAGTGTGAAAAGCCAAGCTTTAATCCTGACCCAGCCCAAAAAGCTCTTCCCCTAACCATGAACCAGACTCTGCCAGCAGAAAAACAAACCTCACAAAGTTCTGCCCAATCCCCACCCTGAGCTCTAAAGCCCAAGGCCTGACCATGAAGCACCCCCACAGCCCTTGGGAGCAGGGCAAGGACCTGCAGGGCCCAGAGCAGCCCCAAGGGGTTGGCAGAGCAATGGGAGGTGCCCTGGATCTGCTCAGCTCTGCAGGGACCCCCAGCAGAAGGGCCTGGGCTCTGTCAGGGATGTCCTGGGGCACAGGGGCTCAGCATCCAAGCCAAGAAGGCCAAGTGCACATGGCAGCAGCCAGAGCTGGGGGACAGCAGAGCCATCAGGGAGGGCCCAGAAATGCTGCTGGGAGGGGGGTGGGAAAGCAGGAGGGGTGTGTGCAGCCTGCAAGGCCAGAGGAGCAGCAGGGCCAGGGGAGCACAGCCTGCAGCAGAGATGGCCAAGGGCTCTGGCAGGGCTGCAAGGTCCAAAGGCACCCAGGCCTTTGTGCCCTTGGCTCTGGCAGCTGCCTCTGCCCCTCAGGCCACCACAAGCAACTTTCCTGGCAGCTTCTGCCCTTGGGTTCTGCCTCGCCCCTCCCTGAGCAGCCTGGCAGGGCTGGCACAGTTTTGGGCCTTTGTTGTTCTTCTCCTCCCATCCCACTGCCCCCCAAACAGCCCTGAGCCCCCCGGCAGGGACAGGGCCTGGGGCTCAACCTTGGCCTTTGTGCTCCCCAAAACCAAGTCAGGCTTTGCTCAGCATTGCAGGGGCCTGCCCAGAGCCTTTGTCTGCCTGCACTCCTGGCCTGCAAGGATCTGCTCGAAGGAGTCCCTGGGGAGGCTTTGTCAGTGCCTGCCCTCAGTGGGGCCCAGCAATGCTTCAAGGGACTGGGAGTTTGGCTTCTGACTTCCTGAGCAGCTTCTTCAATCTTCTCTCTATATTAGAGGATGATGGACTTGTCTCTAAACACACTGTGGGGCTCATTAAAATACAGACAAACAAATTATTTTCTTTCCTTTAATTGTCTTCATGTTTTCAATTCTGCAACGACTAATTGGAGTTGTTATGTAGTTTACCTAAGGAGGAAGATTTTAAAGTGGAAGTAACAAAAATACAGCTATCTATGAAAGGAAGTGATTTACACAGAACCTTGGGATGCAAGAGGGTCACGGTGCAAAGGATTTGGACACAAAGATAAGGGGGCCAAAGAGATTAGTAGCAATTTCAAAACGAGTCTTCAAAGTATGTACTTTTTCTTTTAATTCAAGGATGGATATTTTTCAGTTCAGAGAAGAGGTGATAGAGGTGTTCTCCAAGTGATCTTGATGCTGAATGTCTCCTCAAGAGATCCAGACTGACCCTGTATGATCAGCCTTGCTCCTCACCCCCCAATCTCACCAGTTCTGACATCATCTATCTTGGACTGACATCCCCCTTCTTGCATTAGACTTTGAGCTCTGCAGCTGGATGTTCCAGCTTCATGGCATCATCTCCCACCTGCTCTCCTTAGAGCTCTGCTTGAACACAGGCCCAGGAAAAGTTTTCCTCTTTCTAAGAAATGACAAGAAATGTAAATCATGAACAACCTCCCTAAACATCAAAACACCTGTAAGCACATGCTCAGTACAAGCTGCCCCTGATGCTGTCACCTTTCTATCAGGGACAACGTTATCAGAAAGGTTTTTCACAGGTCCATACAAAAGCATTGAGAGAAACACAATTCAGGAGCTTGCTAAGGAGACAATCAGACTCCTGAAGACAAACAAGCTTTCACCTCCCTTCCCACATGCCCAGGTGAGAGGGATCTGAATGGAGAAAGAGGAGAAAACTGGGAAGGGCCTTTGTCTTGACAGTCTGTGTGAGAAGATGACCCTCGAGATGGTCAGTGTGTCAGACCAGGTGTGAGGATATGAGAGATTGGGGAAACTCAATAGCCCAGATAACAGGCAGAACAGTGGTGCTGAAGCTCCAGGGGAAGAGCGAGACTCCTTTGGAATGTCCCTTTTGAAAGGCCCTGGCATTGGTAGAGCTCTGCTGGGAGTGCAGACAAACCAAGGTGGCACCATCTGTGACAGGGACCAAAAGTGCAGGCCAGGGAAGCACAGGCTGCACAAGGTGCCTTTGGGGAGCAGTGAGACAGGGAAGGGCTCCAGGGGGTGACGTGTCTGGCACTGAAAGAGAAGAGCAGGAGCAGGAACTGTCCAAGGATAAATCAGGCCCCACCAGCCTGGTGGCCTCCAGGATGAAGTAACTGCCCTGGTGCACAGGGGAGGGCAGGGGATGTGTTTGAGCTCCACTTCAGCTCAACTCTGGGCCTGGTTTCCCTCCTACAGGACATCATCCAACACCATCTCCAAGTGCTTCCTGAAGCCTTCAGTGATGGGCACTGCACCACGTGCCTTGGGTGTCAGGAATGAGTGGTTTGGGTGGTTTAAAGAACCATTCTCAAGGGAACTGGCAAAAAGCAGGTTTTAATATAAATGTGTGAAAGTGTGACCAAGCAGAGTTGGGTGACAAGGTTCAATCTATTTCCTACTACATGGATGAAGTAAACACAGGAAAATCAAATTACAGTCAATTTAGAATGATTTACACAGAGATGCAAAAGGCTCAAGGTGTAAAGGTGTAAAAGATAAAGAGGCAAAAGAGACCAGTAGCACTTAATCATTGACCAATTTAATCCTTAAAAAGGGATTCAATAGGATTTCCTACAATTATAACAGTTACAATTATTGTTTCACTTTATCCACATTCACAGAAAAGTTAATGAATACACACAGGTGGAGTTGTGAACATCTATGTGTGTAAAAGGTACCTCTCAAAAATTCCCCTTCTTGTCAGTGAAATGCTCCTGTCAAATCCCTTTGTGTTCCCAACAGACAAGGGTGGCATCTCAAGGAGTGTGTGTGTGTCAATCTTGCTGGGTATCAGCCCAGGCCTCCTTGTCAGCAACAATCTGCTGAATGTAACTGACTTGAGTGTTCCCAAGCTCCAGGAGGCTCCAGGAGTTGTCCCAGAAAGAGGAAGGTGCTGGAACAGCCACTGTGGCCCAGGAGAGCTCAGAGGGCCTCACTCAGGCCTGCTCTTCATAGGGTTGCAAGATGGTTGACTTTGGCCATGACTAAGTTTCCCTTCTGGACATAAACCAATTGAGGAACTACTGGACTATCTTGCCAAAATGCAGTAACAGTTGTACTGCTCCTCTGGGGCTACAATTCCCAAGGGTGCTGCTCCCCTGGGCTACGATTCAGGGCAATGTTTTACCAAGGCTACAAATGGCAATTGCACCTCCTTGGTTGGGCAGATGACGATTGTGATTGTTCCACCTCTGCCATGCAAGAGCTCCTGGGATGATCAGGCAGTGCCTGGTGGCTCCACTGGGATGCTCCAGGGACACTTCACTGCTCAGCCCCTTCAGTCAAGGCTTATCAGGAGCTTCTGAGATCAGGCCCAAGGATGGGCGGGGGATGCACCCCACACACCTTCCCAGTCTGGCCAGAACACCAAGGGCACAGTGTGGCCTCCTCTGCCCTTCACCTGCCTGTCTCACCTGCCATCCAGGAGCCTTGGTTCTGCCCCACAACCCCCCTGAAATGAGCCCTTACACAACACAGTCACACCCTGGGAAATGCACACTGATATTTTCCCCTCCCAGAAAAGTTCCAGCTCAGCACAGCTCCCTTCAGGCCCCCAGCTCCGCTGCCACCTCTCCAGCCCAGCCCAGTCTCCTCTGCCCCACAGCAGTGCCCACCCCAGGGAGCTGCAGAGCTCTGGGCACTCCCTCCACAGCCCCAGCCCCTCTGAAGGCCACAGCAGCTCCTGGGGGCAAAAAATCAGCACAGAGATGGGTGGGCAGAAGGAAAAGGAGGTCCAGGGCACCCTGTGGTCCCTATACAGGGTATCCTGAGAGCTCTGCAGCCCCTCTGTGCCAGCAATAACCCTGCCCCTCCTATTCCCTCGAGACAAAGGAACCAGCCCCAAGCTGGTGCAGCCAGAAAGGTGCTTTCCCCTCATTCACTCCTCCTGTGCTGAGGATGAATCTTAGAGAAAGAAGTTGCTGAAGGTTCATTTATTTTGCTTAAAGGAAATGGTTTCCCGTTTATACAAAGTCTATGGGTCACACAAGATGGGTGGATATTTAGGGGAGAAATAATTAAGTTTATTGAAACCATCATAAAAAGTGGATAAAAGGGAAAAAATATAAAACAGAAAAAGAAGACTTAGCCTGTCATGATGTACCCTGGAAGTCACTGCACAGGAAGCAGTTGGTCTGTGCTTGCAGAAAACAATAAGTCATCATTTTCCTGAGGGCATGCTTGAGCTCCTGGTTCCTCAGGCTGTAGATGAGGGGGTTCAGTGTTGGAGGCACCACCGAGTACAGAATTGACAGGGCCAGATCCAGGGATGGGGAGGAGATGGAGGGAGGCTTCAGGTAGGCAAATGTGCCAGTGCTGAGGAACAGGGAGACCACAGCCAGGTGAGGGAGGCACGTGGAAAAGGCTTTGTGCCGTCCCTGATCAGCAGGGATCCTCAGCACAGCCCTGAAGATCTGCACATAGGAGAAAATAATGAAAACAAAACATTCCAAAAAAGGAAAAGCACTAAAAGCAAGAAGCCCAACTTCCCTCAGGTGTTTGCCTGAGCAAGAGAGCTTGAGGATGTGTGGGATTTCACAGAAGAACTGGCCCAGGGCATTGCCCTGGCACAGGGGCAGGGAAAATGTATTGGCTGTGTGCAGCAGAGCATTGAGAAACCCAGAGGCCCAGGCAGCTGCTGCCATGTGGGCACAAGCTCTGCTGCCCAGGAGGGTCCCGTAGTGCAGGGGTTTGCAGATGGCAACGTAGCGGTCGTAGCACATGATGGTCAGGAGGGAAAACTCTGCTGAGATGAAGAAGACAAAGAAAAAGAGCCTGTGCAGCACATCCTGTGTAGGAGATGGTTGTGGTGTCCCAGAGGGAGTTGTGCATGGCTTTGGGCACAGTGGTGCAGATGCAGCCCAGGTCTGTGAGGGAGAGGTGCAGCAGGAAGAAGTCCCTGGGGGTGTGCAGGTGCTGGTCGCAGGCTACGGCGCTGAGGATGAGGCCGTTGCCCAGGAGGGCAGCCAGGGAGATGCCCAGGAAGAGCCAGAAGTGCAGCAGCTGCAGCTCCTGCCTGTCTGCCAATGCCAGCAGCAGGAACTGGGCCATGGAGCTGCTGTTGGGCATTTGTTCTTCCTTAGCACAGAGTCTGTTCAGAAAAAGAGAAGACAGGGAATAATTAAGAGAGACCCCTCTCATCAGAGATATTCCATCTTTCATAGTAATCTCCCCAAATCAATTGTATTTCCCTAATTCTTGCTCAGAGCGGTGTGAGCAGCAGGAGCTCTGCCCATGTGCTGCCAAGGGCTCACCTTTGCTCTGCTGCAGTGGTGACATGGAGCTGGTTTGTGACAGCTCTCATGATCACATGAGTGTCAGATGTAACTCACCTTTAATGGAAAACTCCATCTCTGACCTCCCTGCTTACAAGAGTGTGGAATGCAGAACAGAGGTTTCTAATATCCTTAGAATAATTTTTCTCTGTTACATATGTTCCACCATGAAATCTGCAGAATGTTCTTTGTAGGAGTAAAATTCTCATTTTTATGGCTGAAAATATGAAGATCCTTGAGAAAACACAAGAGACAAAAGGGCTCAGCTCTCTGTAGTTTAAAGGAGAGCCAGGAGAGCTAAAGAGTATTTCAGCCTGTTTCCCATCTACCCTCCTCTTTCCCTTGTGCTGCATTCACTTTGATTTCACACAAATAAATATTGAAAAATGCACCCACAAATACCTGTGCAGTGCTGAGAGCAGGAAAATGTTGCTTCCAAGGGCAGCTCTGTGCAGTGTCCCCTGTGCCAGCCCAGAGGTGCAGCTGTGCTGGACACAGCAGGACAGGAGCCCTCCTGCAGGGAAGCCAAGGGCTGGCTCAGGACAGTGCCCACCCCCAGGGGAAGGCTCAGCACTGCCCAGGATCCTGGGCTCATTTCTGACACTGCCTGAAATATTCACCTCGGAGAGTGAAAGGGTTGGAATTTCAGTGCAGCCTCCTGAGCTGAGAGAACAATGTCTGTGCTCAAATGCCTAAGCAGCAAACACACAGCAGGACTAATTCCTTTTCTGGAGCCCCTGTCTTCTCTGAACTGTGCCAAAAATTCTCCATTGAAATATCCTGTAGTGGTGTGGAGCTGAGAGCAGCTCTGAGCCTGCAACAGCGAGACATGGAAAAGATCCTCCCTGCCCTGCCAGGTTTGCTCCTTGCCCAGAACCCTCCTGCCCCAGCCCCTGGCAGGCAGCAGAGTCCCTGCCCAGCACAGCGCCCTGGGCTGCAGGACCCTGCTCTGCCCCACAGCCCTGGGCACCCCTGGCTGCACCCCCGGCTTCACAGCTCTTCCCAACTGCCCCAAAACTGCCCCTCCTCACCCATCCCATCAGCTGGGGCTGGACCAGCTTGAGTAGATACCTCCAGGAGCTGCCCCTGCACTGCCCTGCAGCCACAGACTCACCGTGTGCAGCCCTGCCAAGATTCCTCCTGCAGGGAGCTCTCAGCCCTCCTGCCAGTGCTGAGCCCCTTTCAGCTCTGCCTGTGCCCTGCTGGTGTCCCTGAGCTGCCCTGGCAGTGCCCTCAGCCCTGCTGGGCTGTGCAGAGGAGCTGCTCATGGGCAGAGCTGTCTCTTTGAAGGTGTTCTTGATTGCCAGGAGCTCCCTGTGTGCCAGGAGCCCGGCCCAGCTCAGCAGCACAGCAACAGCCCCAAGCATTTCATCACCCTTAGGGGCTTTGGGGTTATTTACATGAGACTCAATCCGTAAGAACAAGTTCAAACAACTTCTCAAGAAGTCCAAGTGAGATTGAAACACTAAAGTTTCTTGCAGTGCTAATGAGTCTCACTGAGGGACAGAACTGAGAACGTGTCCCCAGGTTCCAGTTAGAGCAGAAAACTGCAGACAGTGATGACAAGGATGGACAAGCAAGGCAAAGGTGGCTCTGAAGCTGAATAGGCATTGACTTGTTTCCTTAATCCAAAGGACCAAGGCCTGACCCCCAGACCCTGGGAAGGCAGATCCTGTCCCTGCCTCATTGCTCAGGGCTCTTCCTGGGGCACTGGGATGTGGGATGTGCAGTGCCAAGGGCAGGACGATGGGGTGGCACCTGCCAGGCTGCTGAGCAGGGACAAGGAGGCCAGGAGGCCCCAGGGCTGCAAGGGCCACTTGTCTCCTCCTGGCCTCAGGGGCACAGCCAGCAGCCATGGCCAAAGGCCTGCAGAAGGTGGCTGTGTCAGGGCCTTTCAGCTTCTGCACAGGCCTCTCTGCTGTGCAGCCCAGGCTGTCCTAGGGTGTCCATGCCCTGCCCCTTTCCCTGCAGGCTGTCCTCATCCCCCCGGCTGCCCCACCTGGCTGGCCCCTTCCTGCACTGACATCTCTGCATCCTCCCTGGCTCTTCCTGCACACACAAAGCCTTGGGCTCATCCAGACTCCTCCTGCCTGATGTGTTGCACCACAGCACCGCCCTTGGAGTGAAATTCCTTTTTCCTCTTGTCCACTCTGGACCTCCCCAGCTATACTTGGCATTATTTCTTTATTTCTCCTGCTGTTTTCTGCTATGACAAAAGGATCCACCATCTCTAAATCCTCCCTTCAAGCCCTCTGAGGGCTCTCCTGTACTGTCCTCAGTCTCCACACCATTGAGGCCACAGCTCCTTAGCCCCTCTATAGTGGTCATGGGCTTGAGACCTTGAAACCCCCTCTGGGGAGATCTCTGGGCACTCTGTAATGTTTTTGCAGATGAAAATGTCCTGCTCAAAGTCTAAGAAAATCACAGGGGTACTTTTTACCAAGGCCTGTAGTGGCATAACATGGGGCAGTGGCTTTGAACTGAAAGAGAAGAGTTTTTTATTGGATAATAGGAGGAAAGATTGTACAGTAAGGGTGGCAAGAACTGGAACACGTTTCCAGAGAAGTGGATGTCCCATCCCTGGATTTGTCCAAGGTCAAGGACTGTGAGTGTTCTGAATTAGTGGAAGATGTCACTGTCCATGTCGAGGGACTTGGACCAGATGAACTTTGATCTTCCTTCCAAGACAAACCATTCTGTGATTCTTTGAGTCCCAAACTCCTTCTCCAAAGAATTTCCTTTTTTGAGGACATGAATTGCCATGTTTTTGGATAAACCCTCCTAAGCCCAAAAGGTAAAAAAATAACTCAAAGACAGTTCAAAAATATCTGTGTGAAGGCTTCACCATGTGGGTCAATGGCAGAGCCTCCCAGGACAACCTTACAAACCTGGGTGGGGTTTTCATGCTTGGGATCTTAGACATGATGGGCAACAAGAAATCAAGTTTTGGGACTGTGCAAGACTTGTCATGGGATCTCTGGGAAAGAACAAACAAAAGGAAATGGTGGGATCACAGTGGTTTGTGAAGGAACAAGCATGAGAAAAGAGAGAGAAGAGGGGATGAAAAAGCTGGCCATGGTAAACAGGAGGATGCTCAAGACACTTCCCAGACCATTCCCTGACACTGATCCCCACAGCTTGTCCTGTTTTCTAGTAACTCCATTGCCAAGAAGTTTCTGTAGGGGAAGGACCTCTCTGCTCCTGGCACATATTTTGGCACAAGTTGCAGCCCCTGCAGCAGGAGCCACAAATACTCAGGTCTTGTGTTCTTTGGGGGGCCAGACTCTGCCAGACTGGTGTGTGTGTGTGCGTTGAAAGCACAAAACAGTGAAGAAAATGCAAAACCAAGCACACAGATGGAGGGGTTTGTCCCCCTGGCCCTCCCCAGAAGGGACACCTTTCAGCAAGTGTTGTGGCCTTGGCTGTGCTGAGTGTTGAGCTGGGCAATGCAGCTTGTGATTGCAGTGGCAGTGTCAGGGCTCTGCAGAGCTCCTCGGAGTTCCTGCCTTTGTCTCCAGCAATCCCAGAGAGCTGCAGGGGCTGCATTCGATGCCTTGTGCTTTTGGTGAGCCCGCCTGGCTCTTGGGAATGGGAGCAGGCCTGGAGTTCCCAGACTGTTCCTGCCTCCAGGGTGGGGCCTGCAGTGCCGTGTTTGCAGCATTCCATTGGCGCAGTGGGCAGGATGGCCATGGATCCATTCCTGCACAAACCCAATCGTGCTCCATCCCAGGCAGGGACACAATGGGCCCACCAATGTTGGAAGGAGAAGAACAAGGCAGTTTCGGTACTGTGGAACCCCATGGAACCAAAGGAACCCTGGGACATGGTGGAAACTCATGGAAGAAAGAGCACATTGGGACCCTGCAGCCCCTCCTGGAACCAAAGGGAGTCTGGGACGTGGCAGGGTCTGATGGAAACAAAGGAACCTGATGGGAACAAAGGGACCCTGGACACTGCCAAAACTCAGGGAGACAAGGGATCCCCAGGGCACTGTGGAATCTGCTGGAATCCAGGGGCCATTGGAATCCACTGGGGCCTCCTGGAACCAAAGGGAACAGGTGACACTGTGGAACCTCATGGCATCAAAAGGACCCTGTGAGTTTGTGCAACATCAGGGAATCAAGGGGCCACTGTGACATCACAGAACGTTTTGGATCCAAAGGGAACCAACGGGACATTGTAGAATCTCATGGAATCAAGGGGCCATTGTGACATTTTGGGAGTTCACAGAATCCAGGGGCCATTCTGATCCTGCAAGGCCTTCTGGAGTCAAAGGGACCATTGGGACACTGTGGAAACTCCTGTGATCAAAGGGGCCATTGTAACACTGGGGAAAATGATGGAATCAGTGGGCCATTGTCACACTGCAGGGACTTATGGAGCCAAAGAATGCTGGAAAAAGTGCAAGCTCATGGAACCAAGAAGCCATTGTCACACTGTGGAGCCTCAAGGAAAAAGGGATCCA